TTTTATCCTGAAGCTGTGAGATTTCATCCAAAAGTTTGCTTCGCTCCGTTTCAAATTCCGCCTGAAACATTGGTTTTTCAACAAAGTAACATCGCCAGTGATTGTAGCAACCGGAAAAAGTGACTGTATTTTTCGTACAAAACTAGTACCCATACGTAGTTAGGGCAGTTATTCTCAACTTCTTTTTGAATCTCAAAGAACTTTTTCGAAAAAAATCCGCATACAATGCTATGGTTATTATTATGCTAAACCGACTGCAGCAACCGGGTTGGCCCTGGAAGCCTAAATGGCGAAGGCGCGATAGATTACAGCATGAAAGAACAGTATAGGAGAAGATTATGAGTGAGATAAGACGTTCCGGTCCATTAAGTCATATACGTCTTAACTCAACACCACGCGACAGGACCTTGTCAGTATGACGGTTGCAGTGCTTAATGGAAAAGGAAAAGAGAAAGACGATAAGAAGAAACAGAAGGGGAAACGATATGACTGTGAGATTAGGAGTGGTATGAATGGGGTGGAACTCATAACGGAATTGCTCATTTTTAACTAAACTACAAATTTTTTCACGCAAAAATATATCAGTATAAAAAAAAAGAAAACTATTCCATACCCTATTTTCGGCGGAAAAGAAACTTGCTAATCGATGCCTTTTTGTGAAATAGAAATAGCAACTGTTCCAGACAAGGTGGCGAAATGACAAAAAATCTTTGCCAGTATTTCCACCAGGAACTTCTTCGGGGGACAAAAAACACAACAGGAACAACAGGAGCCGCCTGACCGTCGGTCAATTCAGCATCCATCAAAAAATTAGAAAAAAAAAAAAATTATCAGCTGCACAACCGGAAAGAATATGGCTGTGAATTATAGGAAGCCACATATTCCAACCCATACAGGCGAACAAAAAAAAACACTCAAAGAAAGGCTGAGTAAGAAAAAAAAAAGTATTCTCGTAACAATCCTCGGCTTTTTCACGAAAAAAGAAAAACACACCAATTTAATAGAGAACATGTTTTTTTCTCGATCTGAATTCGGCGTTTCGGTCACTGAAAATTTTTCAGGCGTCTTCTTTAAAGCTTCTTCCAATTCTCGTTCCTTAGCTGCCAAATTCTTCTTGAGTTGCAGTACTTTCTGTCCCGTGTCACTCAAAATAGCGTTCTTTTCGGTCACCTTCAAAAAAATCGATCTTGCATTCGCAAAAAACGCTTTAAATCGGGTTCTGTAGTAAAAAAAAAATGAACTTTCTTATACCTAACATGTTGTATAGAACAACGAATGCAATCATTATGTGTAAACTAAGTGGAACTCTTTTTATGCTTTTTTGCATCTATGCAATTCGTTCGTCGAGGGGTTGTCTGTATGTGTGTGCGTGTGTGTGTGTATCGTGTCTGTATGTTCGTCTACGCCGTTTTTTTTTATACACTACGGAAAACCACCGAAAAAAAGGCTTGAGTGATCAATATATAGAGGCCAAAATATTTGTCTAATGTTGCCCAGGTATTCGCCGAACTTTCACACGAACAATTTGCAACAGTTTTCACACAACGCTACTATTCCTGCACAAAAACTGGAGCTGCCTGGATTGAAAAAAAAAAAAAAAAAATAAATGAAGAGAGTCCGAACGCCAAATGACTGAACAGAGTATCTATTTAAGCCTTCAAAATATAGAATTTAAGTTTTTTTTTTTGGAATTTAAGTTAAATTTCCAGTTGGTTCGAGAATCCGTCAATTTTTAGGTTTTAAGTTTTAATACTGAACTTCAAGCTGTTTTAGGAATCCCTCAATCAAACAAATAATAAAATTGGTAAAAAAGAATCAAGAAACTGCGCCTTGTTTTTTTCGTCGACAATAATGGGCAGAAGGAACGGAGATGAAAAATACGGCGTTTTATTTGGAAAAAAAAATTTTGGTTACCATCTTAAGGTAAAAAATCACTTATTTTTCCAGTGATCACGCTGAATATGATTTTTATGCAACAAAAGTTTGGACACAGCTGCGGATTTCTTTCTCCAACTAGCACTAAAAGTCCAAAAAATCTCAGGTTTTTCGCCTCTCCAGAAAAAAGCAAACTCTGAAGAAGTTCAACCACCAATACAAGTAACCTACGGCAAATGCCCCAGTGCTGTTGCTACACGTATAAGTGGGCAGGAATCGATGGGAATTGTGCGTTACTTGAGCATTACACGAGCAACACTGGGTGTTTACTTGGATCAGCTGCCATTAGACGAAGCTGGTACTCCATGCCTGAGTCCAACTCCTGTTCAGTTGGTACGTGAATATTTCTTCATTGAAGAAAAAAGAGCTACGAACTGCAAGCGGAGACCTGTGCATGAAGGGAAGAGATCTTCTGTTCGAGTTCAACCAAATACGAGCTTTTCTTATCGTTCAGCGTAGCAACCTCATTTTGCAATTTTGCAATTTCATTTTCCATCTCAGCAAGATATTCATCACGCGATGTTAACAGTGCTTGTAACCGAGCAATATCCTGAAACAGTGAACAGCGCCACTTTAATAATTTTATTCAAAAAAAAAAATCAAAATTTTCCTACAACTCGATTTCCATGAGGTGGGCACGATCGGAAGTAGTCGAAGCTATGTTTTTTAAGGTAAAATTTAATGAAATCAAATGAAAACAACATAAAATTAAAACCAAGCAGCTAAACAGAAATGTTCCGATTCTTGAAGACGTATACGTTCCTACTGAACAAAAATAGACGGAATTAGGTGGAATTCAATGAAATTAAATGAAAATAGCAAAGAAAATAAAAATTAATTAGCGGGAACGCGATCTCGGGAACCACATCAGCTACGGGGCTGAAACTCGGTAGGGATATTCCCTGTGCATGTACTAGCAAAAGATTTCAAATTCAGCCCCCAGGTGTGCATGGTAGTCACATAGGGGCATATGGAAGTTTTAAGAGGAAACCTTAAAACGAAAAATATTTCAACCCCTGAAATTGCATACATTCCTGTTCAGCACCAAAAATAGGCCTCGTCAGCACGAATGTTGTGGTTTCAAATGATTTTAGATTAAGATATTTGTCAAATGCAATCGAAAAGAAAATAAAAAAAAAAAAAATATCGAATAATTCAGAAAAATCAAGACTTGAAAACTAATTCTAGATTTCTGACATAATAAAACATCTCGTCGACTCTCAAATTCAAAGATTTCGGCCGTTCCGTATTTTCCACAGTTTGGGCTGGCCGTTATTTCAGAAAGTACTGTTCGGCCTACCAACGGTTGCCAAAAAATTTTTTATCAATTTAACCCACTTCGGTCGCCCCACTTCTGATCCGATCTTCTAATGGCCATTACTTATCAGTTCATCATTCCCGCTTTTCCTGGGTAAATTCGTTAATAACTTGCCTAATTTATGCGGAAAAAAAACTAAAGAAATGGCAAAATAAGAAAAAAACGAAGTAAAACCCTTGACTGCTGAAGATTTTCTTCACCAAGTGTGGCCAGTCGTTGATCCTTCTCTTCATCTTTCAGCAAGATATCCCTTGCCAACTGGGCAACAGCTAATTTCTCCGATTCCGCTTTTTCTAACTTTGTTCTAAAATCCACTAACACGTAGTTATTCATCAAATAATACAACAAAAATACACGTTTGGTCATAAAAAGCAGTAAACAGCAGAGTAGCTGGTGCGATCAAGCATTTTGTGCAGTTCTATCCAGCGAATTCGCTTACTATCAGAAACGCTTGCTGCCTTACTGTTTGATATGCATAGAAATTACATCGGAATATTCCGATTAGCATAAGTTTCACATAAAAGTCCATATATAAGACCCGAACGTAGGCGGAAGTTGAATCTAAAATTTTCTGAGTTCGCAAATGCCTAGAAAACATTGTCTTGAAATTTCAGTTTTCTATCTTGTCTAGTTCCGGAAAGTCCACATATAAGACCTAAACATAGGCGGAAGCTGAATCTAAAATTTTCGGAATTCGCAAATGCCTAGAAAACGCTGTCATGAAATTTTAGCTTTCTCTTGTATCTTGTCTGGTCCCAGAATTGGAAGATTTCTGACCGAAACTTTCATGCGATCGCACTTTAAACGTAGACGTATGTAGAAGCTGAATGCAAA